CCCTCCTCAGCTGCAGGATGGTCCCCAGCCCTGGGGACACCGGTGGCTCCGTCCCCAGTTGCAGGATGGTCCCCAACCCTGGGGACACCGGTGGCTCTGTCCTTAGCTGCAGGACGGTGCCCAGCAAAGCCACTCTTGGAGGGGGACCAGGACCCCACGAGCACCCCATCCACCGGGACCTGGCCGTGTCCCCACACCCCTGGGGACCAGGGGACACTGTGGCCACATCGCCAGAGGATCCTTACTTTAAGTTGGAAGCCCCAAAGATGTTTTGTGATGCTGCGGGGCTGAACCGAGACCTACCTCCGGGACCGCCCTGATGCCGTTGGGGAAGGAGGTGCTTTTCCACAGCAATTTCGGGGGAATCGCTGCCGTTTCATGGAGCAGCCACACGTCCAAAGTGCAAAGCAGCCCAACAACATCTCCAGGTGCTTTTTGCCTCCGAGAGCGCCCGTCGAGCTGTTGCAAATGACCCAAAGGCTTCGTCGGAGCCGCAGGACTCGCTTTTCTCGCGCCGGCTGCTGGCCACAAGCGCATCCGCTCACCGCCTCTCCACGAGCTGTCGAAGCAGAAAGGGCAGAGGGACGGTGGCACTCGCTCGTCCCCACAGCGGGTTCCGGCTTCAGGTGGAGCAGGAGCAGTAAGTCAGCTTTTAAGGACCACTTCTGCTGTATCCGTGGAAAGGAAAAGCTTTGGGATGGAAATTGGAGAAAAGGAGAATTAGCCCCAGGCAGCCCTGATCGCTCCGTGATGCTTTTGGCATTAGACTCGTTGAGAAGAGCAGCGCGATGGACCCAACCACTCCGGGATCCTCCAGCCTGGAGATGGGGAAGGCATTCCATGCACTGTAGCCCACCCCAGCTGTACCCCCAAGAGCTTCGCTGCCAAAACACGCACCATTAACCCCAGTTTGCGAGCAAAGACGCAGCCACAGAGCTCCAATCTCCCTACAAAGAGCTGCCTCCCGCCCTGGGGGCGGGAGCACTGGAGGTGCCGCATTCCCTAAGGGTGTCTCAGCCTTATTATTGTTATTACAGCGGAGAAATTGGGATTTCAAACCTGGAAAAGAGAGTTGAGCCGCTTAAAAACACTGCGGGTCAACAGCAGAGCATCCTTTTTACCGGACACGCTTGTGTCACCACGCGGATGCTCGAACGGAGCACTACTTCATCCCGGCTGTTTTCCCATCGCTGTCAGCTTGGGGACAAGGTACCGTGTTTAGCGGCATCCCATCGGCAACCTCCCCCCCGCCCCAGACCAGGGATTAGCTCAGCTTTGGAGTTTCAAGGTCATCCCACACCCACGACCTTCCCTGCGGGAAACTTTGCCTGGGCTGAACCCAGATTGCTGGCAAAGTCAAATCTTGCCCTTTGGGTTTTGGTTTGGGTTGTTGGTTTTTTTTATTATTATTATTATTTTTCCCACAAAACCCCAGGGAAAAGGGCAGAAAAGCCCAGGGCTCAGCGGGGTTTGGGAGCGCTGGCAAAGCTCAGCATCCTCAAAACCTCTACTCACCATCGCGGCGGTGCGAAGTCCGGTGCGCAAGAGGCTACGAAGGCAAAGAGGGACAGTCCCCAAAAAGCCGGACAGCATCTGGAGCGGCGTGTTTGTAGCCCAGGAGGAGTGGGAAGGGACTCACGGCACCTCCCTCCTCTCACGATGAGCAAATCCAGCCATCAAAGGGGAAAAATGGTTATTCTGCTCCGTTTTCGGGCTCCCTGTAACAAACACGCTGTTTCTGCCGCGGCGCGTGCTGTCGCAGCCAAGCTGAGCCAAACCCCGGATCGTCTCATGAGCCGGCATGGTGAGGAAGCGAGCGGAGATTTTGGAAACGTGCCTGTTCTCGGGGGGGAGCACGGGGCCGTCCCCGCAACCTGGCTCTCTGTCGGCGCTCCCCGAAAGCATCTCAGCCAGCAAACGTTGCATCACGCCCCACGTCCCTCCGGGGAAGCGAGGGTCGGAGGGCTCAGGGAGCAGCAGAGCCACAGGAGGGGATGGAGACATACGGAGCGTTGGGATTATTCCCCATAACCACAATAAGACCCACCAAATCACAGCCCGAAACAAGCCCCCAAGCCCAGCGACAGCACCGAGGGGGGAACACTTGTCCTGAGCCTCATCAAACTACCCTCGACGGTGCCGTACTCGGCCTCGCCTCACCCTCTCGGCACACATTCTGTGGCTCAGCACCTTTCGGTCGCTCCTTCTGCCGCTTCCCTTGTTTCAAGCACAAGCTGCCCAGGTCACCTGCTTGCTGATGGCAAACGCAGCTATAAAGGTTAACTCAAGGCAGCTTAAAATTGAGCCTTTTTCACGTATAAATATTCCCAACAGCAGGAGGAATCAGTGGAAAGTTCTGTCCAGAGGAGGGACATACCGGGAGATGGTACGGGCAGGAGGAGCTGCCCCGGTTGCTGCCCAGCCTGCTCCCAGGATCCAAAAAAAAAATCCTTCCCCGCCTGCACAAGGCTGCTTTGTCCCTCCACGCTTTCACGGCAAGAAAAACGAGCCCTCAACCGAGGACTGGGCTGCAACCAAAGCCGTTTTTGGAAGGGACGTGCGCAATGAAGTCAGTGAAGAACGAGGGGAAAAAAAAAAAAAAAGTTTTATTAAACAGCAACAAAACCGAGAAAAACATCCCCCTTTAGTCTGCCCCGTGCCCACGGGGCTGCTCCTCTCCCACCCCGCAGCCGAGTTGAGTCTTCCCGAAGTGCCCGGTTACAGCCGAGGGGTCCCGGGGGTCCCCCTACGGCTTCTGGCTGAGCGTGGGCCCCGCCGTGGCGATGATGGAGGAGCTGGCCAAGCTGCTGCCCAGCGTTATGAGCGTGGTGCCGGCCCCTCCCGGCAGCACACCCTGCGGCAACAAGTGTCTGTTAGCCAGAGCTTCTCTGGTGTGGATGATGGTGCTCCCGTCGTCCACCACGGAGGGAACCCTCCCCAAGGTCTCCACTGTCCCCAGAGTGTGACCAAGGGCTGCAGCGCTCTTGGTCAGGCTGACCTTCTCTCCGATGTGTCCCAGGGGTCCATCGCCCTTCACCGCGGCCAACGTCGAGGTCAGGATGACGGTCTTAGAAGCGGTTTGTAGGACAGGTCCCACTTTTGAGTGTACCAGGCTGCCGGGAGGACTGGGGGCGCTGGCCAAGGGGGAGGAGGTGGCAAAGGTGACAGCGCCAGTGGGAGAGCTGGCAGAGGAGGAGGAGGAGGAGGAGGAAGGCTGGATGCCCGGCAGTTTGAGGGGGACGGAGGTAGCCTCACCCATCACAGATTTGGTAAGCGCAGACAGCTTGGCGTCCGACATGACGTAGAGAGTCTTCATGGGGCTGGTGGTGGTCACTGCGGAGAAGGGGAGAGCGCGGTCAGTGGCCGTGGGGACGTGGGGCCCACCCTGGGCTGCAGCCCCCAGCCACAGCGGCGGAGTCACAGGTTTTGGGGTTGAACAGAAAGACCTGACCTTGTCCGCTCACCACAGCGAGAGCCCAAAACAAACCCCAGCGCTGCCACAGCCTGAGCAAAGAAAGCACAACAGCCAAACTCGGGCACCATCAGCACCGCTCCCCTCCTAGACTGCTCAGATTCCCGCCAAGGAAGCCCCTCTCTCTTCCTTCAGTGTCTGATGATCTCCACCAAAATGTCCCCTCCCGCCAGGGCGGGACAGTGTGATTCTTCCTTAGCCAAGCATGCTCCATCTCGCCCCGTCCTACCTGCCAAGCTGCCACCGACCACGCTGAGCTCACGCTGCTCTCTGCAGCCCACCTCAAGGCAAGCTCTTGCTCATCTCCGGCATCTCCACCTCCGTCCCACCAACAGCTCAGACCCTCACCATGCTCCACCTCAGGACTAAGAGACTTCAGGCTCTGTGAAACGAAGCCCCTCTGTGCTCTACGGCAACGGCAGAGGTTGCATCGTGGCGGTTACCCCAGCCGAGTCGGCTCCCCAGCTGCATCTACAGCAGCCACAAGCCCGGAGCAACAGCGGGGAGAAAGACTGCACCGAAATCCAATCACTGGCTTTAGATGTGCTCAAGGGATTGGAAAAAGCCTGGAGATCCGCTGCTGGTTAAAGACAACGCTGGCCAGAAAGACCCCAAACCTGGAGCAGCTCGTGGTTTGCCCCTGCAGTCGCCTGAGGCTGCGACTCGCCGTGTCCCTCAGGAGCACGCACCGAGGAGCGGAAAGCAAGCGCGCCCAGCCCCGCTGGGTCACCCAGCATGAATCTCTCCGATACAGTGGCATCAACACCACGCCACGACGTCCCTCGTGAAGGAGTGGAAAGCAGCGCGCCCAGCCCTGCTGGGTCACCCACCCGGCACCGAATCTCTCCGATACAGTGGCATCAACGCCACGCCACGACATCCCTCGTGAAGGAGTGGAAAGCAGCGCGCCCAGTCCCGCTGGGTCACCCGGCACCGAATCTCTCCGATACAGTGGCATCAACACCACACCACGACGTCCCTCGCGAAGGAGCGGGAAGCAGCGCGCCCAGCCCCGCTGGGTCACCCGGCACCGAATCTCTCCGATACAGTGGCATCAACGCCACGCCACGACGTCCCTCGCGCTCCTCAGCGGTGACAGCATGCCACAAACACCACCAACGCAGCGTGGACCTCTCCGAAATGAAGTGGCTCAAGCGGGGAGGGCACGGAGCGAAGGCTGATGACCGACTGTCTAACCAACACGGGACACTGACCCATCCTGGGGTCCGGGAGGGCAGGAGGACGGCGTGAACAGGCGACTCCAGCCACCCCTACGCGGGCTGGGGAAGCGGCACAGACAGGCGATGATGCTGTTAGACACCCACAACGACCGTTCCACAAAACGAAGACTCTGGAAATCCTTCTGTGCTAACACCCCGGCAGCTTTCTTACAAACCGGTCCTCCCCGCTGGATGCAAAGCCAACCTCAACCTCCAGCCAAAGCAGGTAAAGTTCTCCGCAGACCTAACTTCAGCCACTAGCTACAATAAAAATAACAAAAGGAACATGAAAAAACACGCCAGAAGACTTAAGCACAGTGCTTCCGCACCTCCCTGTTGAGTCCTGGGGGAGAAAAAGCAGAGTTTGAAGGTCTGCAGAGGTCGGTGAGCTGGGTTTGACGCCTGCAAGGAAAGCCAACTGCGTGGTAAAACAAAGACGCTGCAGAGCTGCCTCGTTTGCCCTTTGGGAAACCGGCACAGCCCCACTGAACTTCATCCACCAGACCTGGCTCGAGTGCTGACCTACCCACTCGCCGCGCCACTTGCTTGGAAAGCAGCTGGACCGAGGAAAACAAAAACACCGACTCGGCGGGCAGCGGGTTCGTTGGTACAGACGCCTTCCAGGATGCAATGGACCGCATCACCGCTTTCTGTCGGGTTTATTTTTTCTTAAGTCTGAGGTTACCAGGTGGGTAGCGGCTCTGTAGTATTTATTTAGCTGTAAGCGGATGGGGTCTGCTCTCCCCCGGTGAGGTAAATAAATGAAGGCGGCAGGAAGAGCGCGTCGTGCTACGAACGCATGACGGGGACCCTAAATACAAACTGCAGATAATCCCTTCTGCGTTTGGGCTCATGTTTAACACCCCGCTCTTCGTCAACGGCTCAAAAACGGCCGCGTCAAGCCAAAGCTCCAAAGAAACCACGGGGGAACCTAACTAAAAGGAAGGGGAAGGAAGGAAAAAAAAAAAAAACAAAAAAGGAAAAAAAAAAAAAGGCGATGGG